TTTTTAAGTTTTTACGAATTGTGTGTAATGTTCAGCTTATTTAAGTAAAATAAATAACAATATTTTATTTTATTTAAATAAAGTAAAATTATTAAACTAGCTATTTGCTATAAAAAATTATTGTTAAATTACAAATAATTAGGAGAAATAAAGAAGCAAATAAATTTATTAATAAATGACTTATAAAATTTCTCAGCAAACAACATTTAATCGAATATGGTTTTTTATTTCATTATCACCTGCTTATAAAGTTCTTTGCTTAGTCACTATATTATGTAGGTAATTCATATGAGCAGATGGGACTTGTTCAAACAATATGGAAAATATATGGACCAGTGCCAACAATATATTGACTAGCACCAGTACTTATGAATAAAAAGAGACAAATTTGATTGGCCATCCTTGGGCCTCCTGGTAATTCAAAAAGTAAAAGCAATTCAGAAATTCTATTATTGCTATTGGAGGATGAAGTAAACTGGATATGATGTATATGAATATGTGTCATACAAGTTTTCTAAGGTAATAGCATTATCATTTCAACTGTTACCTTGGAAGGATGGATGTATCACTTGTCAGCTGCACATTGTAGGAACTGCATTTTGTAATCCACTTTTTGGAGGCAGAAGGCATAAAACCTATAGAAGTGCACTGAAGAATGTTAGCACAGTATGAAAGCAGCTGCATGTCTCAAAGTTTATCTGTAGATCAAATGGTTCAAGTTCAGAAGTATGAACATGATAGATGAGTTGGTGGTTGCCATCAACCTTGCATGTCAAATAGCTTGTTCATCAACAGCCTGGACTTCACTTTTACCAATTATCATTTATTTGGACCCCTAAAAGAAGCCTTACATGGTCAGATTTGATAGTGATAAAGGAGTAAAAGTAGTGGCACATGATTGGCTACATGCCCAGCTGCAAAACTCTGATGGAAACCACAAGCTTCTAGACCATTATAAGAATTGTGTAACAGTAATGTGGGAGTAAGTTGAAAAATAAATTGTTTAATTTGCATATTTGCATGAACTTGTATAGTACCCAAGTTCAAATAAAATTACTTTTAGTTTTTGAATTATCTTTGTATTTGAAATAAATGACATTAGTTCTCCTAACCAAAATTTTAATTTACAATAATCTTTCTATTAATAACTAAAAATAAAAAATAATCAGAAGTCACTCAATATCAATTTGAAGTTATTTTCTGAAGCATTTTTATACTGGTAAGTTCATTAGCTGGAATGGCAGGGAGGAGAGCCAGTATGGCAAGAGTGAAATTGAGAATATTTTTTATTCTAGTTATTTCAAATGAAATTAAACACACAGATGCAATAGGACTAATCCATATTAAATAAGCTTTAAAACTATATATAAAATGTAAATGTACTGTAATTCAGACACAAGTACCTTAACAAATTAGAAATAGATTTTGCTTTAATATATTCTGTATATATAGATTATTATGATATATAAACTCTACTATCTCTCATGGTAAAGTTAGTTCAATAATTTCACCATGAGAGATAGTAGATAATATCACCAATAGTTCAATTAATTATTTGACTTAGTTTAATCAAACTTTTAACTCCTTGGGACTCTAGAAATTTTTGATATTAATATAATTAAACATAAAAAATACGTAAAACTGAAAGAAATGCATTAATTTTGAAGAAAAAGCTTCAAATTTTATTTTCCTTTGTCTCCCCTTTCTGTGAAATCTGACCCTGATGAGTCATTGTTTACACAGCTGGATGACCTTGAACACAGCTGGAGTTGGATTTCCCGGGACATTCTCAGAAGTCTCGGGAGGTGATGGGTTTATAGTAGGGTGAATACTAGCTGGTCGTATATTTTTAAATATTTTTAAAAAATTAAAATTTTAATTGCGATTTCCAACCCCCCGACTTAATTAAACTTATATATAATAAAATCTATTAATTAAAAAAATTTAAAAACTATTGGAGGTTGTTTTTGACATCAGAAAACTAGCTTTAAATAACTTTACGGAAGGAAAATCCATGCACTACAACTTTAGAATGATTAATGAAATTTGATATCAAACTCCCATTAAAAAACAATTAAATCGTGAATCATGCATCATTAAAGGTAAATTAAAATAGCGATAAAATTTTTTCGCGTGAGGAAAAAATTTTGAAAAAATTTGGAGACTTAAAAAACATTCCAAAAATCCCCCAAAAAAAAAACAAAAAATTTTTAGGGGGTCCAAACGCCGAGTTTTATATAACGCTATGTAACTTGCCCAAGATAGCTCGAGCTTGGGGCTTAACATTAATGTTATATTATTTTTTATTATTGATATTTTTAGTTTAAAGCTCATAATTTAAAATATATTTTCATTTCCAGAAATTCATTTGAAGGAAAAGCAAGAATGTCTGCTTTTGAGTATATTACAGGATTTCTCCATTTTCATGCTGCAGTACATTTAGGCTCTGGTAATTATAATATTACTTTTCCTTATATTTCACAATCTTACATATAAATAAATTTTTTCAAGGTCAGCCATAACTTGAATTAGAAGGAAAGAGTTTAAATTACTGTATGTAAGGTTTTATATTTCTTATTAAAATAATATATTATAATTTATTAAAGAAAGTAATAAAATTGTAATATTTTGAATCTTTGATACATATATTTTTGATCTTCTTTACATAACATAAAATAAACTTTTATACTAATTAATATTAGCTGGCTGGGTTGCCAAGGCAATTGAGGTGTCAGCATACTGCTGTTGTGACCCAGGATTGAATTCAAACAGTCAAAAAATTTGAGGAATTTTTGGGGATGGTCATCCTAATATGTCATGCCCCATTTCTCATTCATTGTGAGCATGAAGATAATGTCTTTTTACTGTCCACAGGGCAGAAAGAGTTTAAAAAATTAATTGATGTTAACTAAATATAAATTGATCTATAAATGTTACTCACAAGTCAGTATAAAAACTAAACTGTGTTATTTATTTATTAGAAATACTGTAATAAGAATGAATTCAATTTTGTTGTTATGTAAAATCTCAGAAATGTATTAAAATTTTATTTATTGTAAGAGTAAATTAAAAGAAAATTATAATACCAATCTACTGTACATTATAAGAAAAAAAAATTATCCTGGAATGATGCTAGCATTTATAATTTAAAATAGTTTTTCAAAAAGATTTTTTTTGTCACAGTTACACAATATATTTTCATAACAGTTTTAATATAAAAAAAGCAACTGAGTTTTAAATTTATTTTTTAAAATAAGTGGAAGATCATTTGTAACATCTGAATATGAAAAAATTATATTTATTAATATTTTATACCAGTGTTTCTCAACCTGTAATGAATCGACGCCCCCTTCAACGTAGTATTGCCCCCTTCACTTCAAAATTCTGATGCCGAGGGCCAAGGCTAATGCCAAATTCGTACTACATTGAATAGACTAGTGACTAGTATAATGTTATTTGTTTAATTATTGTACAATATAACGAATAAAATATCTAATCATTCTTAATATAATGTTTTACTATATTGCCCAGAAAATTGTTTTTCGCCCCCCAAAATATAAATTGTTACAAATCGCCCCTCAACACAGAAAAACGCTCACTTGGGGGCCCTATCGCCCCCGTTGAGAAACACTGTTTTATACAAATCAATCAATAATAATTTCCATGAACTTTCAAAGAGAAAGAATTTAGTATATCAAAATCTTTGGGTAACAATTGAAAAATGCTTCCTTTCTTGTTGGGATACCAGCTATATTCTAATTAGAAAATTCTTGGGAATTCCATAATCCTGCATCTGCAGGTACATAGGAATGCTACCAGTAATTCAACAATCCAAAACTATAGATTAATTATGATTATTTTGGTTGATTACATACATAACTATATACATTTTGAGCCAACTTATATTTTATGGCTCTTCATCAGTAACTAAAATTAAGAGCTAGATCTAAGTATGTAGTTTTGGATCATTGATTTACTGGTAGCATTCCTATACACCTGCAGACACAGGATTACAGAATTCTCGAGAATTTTCTAATTGAAAAATTTGTTTTTATAATAACATAATAGTGGTTCCTCATACTTTGAATTTAATTCATTTCAGGAGGCTGTTTGAATTCTGAACTGTTCAAAGTCCAAATCAGTTTTTCCTATTAGAAATAATGAAAAGTGAATTAATACATTCCCAGACCCTAACAATACCCATTTCAATAAACAGCAAATACATAATTTAAGGTAAAAGTAACACTATTAAATGCCTAAATAATAACTTAAAACATGAAACAATAAATAAAATATATAAATACTGTATAATAAAATGAAAATTGCATTTACTGGTTGTACACTGTTGGCTTTGGCATCTTAAATGCTATAACTTTTATCTTAGGCTTCATTGATTCCATACTCTTCTTGGATCTATTAACCCAATCTATTAACCATGATGGTTAATAGATTGGGGGACAGGGGTTATATATATAATAATCAAGCACACTAAAAATAAAGCTAAAAAAAAAGCACTGAAAACACATGAGCATAATGCAAGAGATGCTTTCACAGCAAGAATGAGAGATGACTTGGGAGCAAACAACAGATGGTGTTTACATAGCAAGTGCATTTTTTCTCAGTGCATCATTCCTAAATATTTATATCAGTTATTTAAAGATATATTATTATAGATATTATTTCATATTTGAAAATAAATGACAAAATTTTTGTGAAAAATTGTAGTGTTTACATCTTGTTCATGTTATCGATGTAATGATCTATATAAATCCAAATTTTATTCTATTAGTTACCAAAATATTTATACTTGGTTTTTTAATATTTGATATTGTATTAAATATATATAATTTATTAACTTTTAACTTATTGAATATTTTAAAATTGAAATTTGATAGATTACCCTTAAAGTTTTTAAATTGATGCAATATGATATTTAATAGAAATGATGTTAATAATAATTTCCTTATTTTCATACTAACACAATAAAATATTTATTATAGATCTAAGAAAAGCAGAGAGAATGTTATGTCATTTGATGTCATCCCTTCCAGCTCTTATTATTGCTGAGAAAATGGAAACTTGGCAATTAATACAAATGGCTGCTATTTGTATGTTTGCTGTAGAGCATGCTTTAGGTAATTTAGAATGGGAAAGAGGTAAACAAGAAAATGAATTAATAAGTGGAGATGAACAAAAATCAGCTTCTTTAGTTATGGAACTATTAGGTATGATATTCAAGTAATAATAATAATTAAATAAAGATTTTCTTAAAGAATACATTAAATTATTTATGAATTATTCATTAATATTTATTTTTGTAAAATAATAAATTGTATCAAATTAAACATATTGTAAAAATGAATTTTCTTTAAAGTTACAATAGTAATATATAGTTTTGTTTACTAAATTAAATTCTAGATCAGCACATATAAAAAATAAAAATAAAAAATATTTTTAATAATTTATATTATATTAAAAATTTTTTAAACTGAACAAATAAATTATGTAATAACTATTTATGCTTAAATGTATTAATTTTTAATTTAATAAATTAATATTTCTAACATAATATGTTTTTTTATATTTAAACACTAATTGCAAAATAATGTTTATTTTATACATGTAAAGAAAATTTACTAATGCTAATTATAATTTGCTAATAAATGGATGAGAGATTAATAATTAAGAATTCATCTTTTGGAAGAAAAATAATTTGATAGTATCTCATTACTAAAATATTTATAAAAATAAATATATATATTAATTTTCTGTCAAAGAAAAATGTTACAGTGTATATTCAAAAAAAATAAAACATATGCAGAAAAGATCTTTTAACAAAAAATAGATTTTATCCAAAAATTTTTGATAAATAATTTAATATTTAATATCCAAACATATATTTTATGTTTGAGTAAATTTCAATTGTATTTTATAAATGCTTAAATCTGTAAATATTTTACAAGTAATTCTGGTTTATAAATTTCATTTAATCAATAATAAATTAATTTTTAATATACCATAAATTAATTTAGGTGTTTTAATAAAACTTATACCATTACATCAGTGTATCTTTATCATTTCAGCAAGTATGGTTCATTCATTTCTCTTACCAATTCATGCATCACTGGATCCCAAAGAAACTTCAGAATATTATTGTGTTCCAGCTGTTAAAGTTGTTATTGATTGGTTTCTTCAAGATCCAAAACTGTTACAACAGGAAGGTTTTGTTAGAAGACCACAGTATGTTTTTCTTATGGCAATATTTGCAGTATAATAGTTTTGATTAAGAAACTATACATAAAAATTATATTAAAAATATTCAATAGGATTTGGCATGGATTCTGTAAATTATTGAATGACTTGGAAATTGCTGTGCCTGTTGCATTCAATCCAAAAAAATGTAAGTTTGTTAATAAGTATGTTATTAAATTATATTTAAATACTGTATTAGCCTGAATATAACGCAACTCCGAATTTAATGCGAGTCCGAAATTTTCATAAAGATATTTAGAAAAAAATAATACTCATAAAAGAATTCAAAGAAAGTAAAATTCAATCAGATAAGCATTTATTTAGGTAATTATAGCTAATAACACAGGTTACATTTATGTCAATAAAATTAAGTAATGTAAAACAAAATTAATATTCTGTAAGTAACAACAAAAAACGGAAATGTTTATTCAGAATCTGAACTGTTTTCAGAATGAGAACTCATTGATGTCACATCGGTATCATCAGTATTTTCATTCACGCTTTCAGACTCCCACAAAATTTCATCTTTCGTCCCATTTAAGTCATTGGAAATGCAGCATTTCTTGAAACATTTAACTATCGATTCAGGTTCGATCTTCTGCCAGGCAGTTGCAATCCATTCTCCTAAAAGAGAGACTGAGGGTTTTTTATTTTTCCTGAAGGTGTCAATGGATGATTGCCCGATAATAGCCAATTGTTGTATTCTTTTCGAAGGTTCTCTTTAAATTGTTTATTAACCACCACATCCAAGACTTGCAACTGAGAAGTCATACCACCTGGTATTATTACAAGATCGGAATTCAATGCCTCAATTTTTTCCTTAACACTTGTCGTAAGGTGGCCTGGAAATGCATCAAGGACTAGCATGGAGCGGGAGTTTCTCAGAGAACCTGGCCGTTTCCCACATATCACATTCACCCAGTCTAATACCAACTCATCTGTCATCCAACCTTTTTCTTGGACCCAAAAACAATTCCTGGACACAGCTTTTCTTTGGGCATTGTTTTACCTTTCAATATAACGTAAGGTCGAAGCTTTTGTCCATAAGCAGTAACAGCAAGCATAACAGTAATTCTGGACTTTTCATAACCAGCTGACTTCAATAAGACCGTTTTTTCACCATTCTTATTTACCGTAAGGTCGGAAGGCATGTCAAAATAGACTGGTGTTTGGTCTGCCTTTCCCATATTTCTAAGACTGTATTGTGCTTTTTGCGTAATGATATAACATGGCGCTGATAAGCCAACAATTTTTCATTAAAGTCGTCAGGAAGTTTTTGCTCAAGAGTAGTCCGCTGTCTTAGTGATAAGCTGTTCCTTTTCATCATTCTTCTACACCAACCCATACTTGCCTTAAAGTCCTTTCTAGGAATGTTTAAATTAGCAGCCCCTTCTAACGCTTTAAATCTTATGAGTTCACGGGATATTGGGCACCCTTCATTCCGCTTTTCTATTACGAATTTTAACACTTGCTGTTCAACTTCATTAAACCTTCCTTTTTTAGGTCCACTAAAAGATTTTCTTGAAGAATTTGCATTCTTATATTTCCTTAAATCTTTTCTCCATAGGCGGATGTTTATTTCTGGAACTCCGTATTTCCTCGAAGCTCTCAAGTTGTTTCTGCCTCGTTCGCAACCATAATTTTATAATTCATATTGTAGATTCTCCTGGTACCTTTATTTATTTGACTCTTTGATGAGCCTTTTTTCTCAACACTACCTTTATTACTCGCACTCATTTTTTATGGGCAATAAAGAAAAAAGTAAAGTAACCATCGCTAGTCACTAGAGCAAAAAACAAATGAAACAAAACAGTTGCATGAGACGTTAACAAGCAGCGACAGCCTTACTATAGTAGCGCTATGCAAACAAAAGCGCAGGCCTACTAACTAGATAACATGGTTGTTTTGAAATGGTCGGTCGAGCTATGAATTGGCCAGACGTTCAGTCGCGTTTCAACCTCTGTAGGAAAATGTCCTTGTTTATATTACATTCCATTACTTAAACCCTGAATTTAGCGCGAGTTGGTTTTTTAACGGAAAATAAATGGTCGAAAAATATCGCGTTATATTCGGGCTAATACGGTAATAAATGTAATAATTGTTAAATTTACATTACACTAGCAATGGCTTTAAGAGCATTTAAAAAGTACTTATTGCCGTTTACAATATTAATAATTTAACCATAATTCATTCTACACTCAAATTGATATCTTTGTTGAAATTACATCATTCTTCAAAGTTTTCTTAAGATAATACTATTAATACTAAAGTGCTGACTAAGGTATCTAACTCAAAATCTAATATTAGCTCTTTCCAATGAACAGACACTAGAATTGTTTATTGGCCGCACTCATTGGTATAGCCGAATTTCCAATGAACAGCATCACTCCAAATAATCATCAGTGTCATCTGAAAAATTATTATTTTATCATGAAAAGTGATGATATCTTGGTTTTCATAGATGGTTATTCAAGATATTATCTTGGATTTCTGATTATAAACAAATAACTCTTAATGAACATGCAGATTATTTTGTCTGAAATCATTCTCTTCTTCCATTAACATAATCACCATCAAAATCTTTGGTTACATCCAGCTTTCTCTATGAAATTATGTACTGTACTTTTACTAAAATAAATTTTCATAGTTTATCTATCGTTCATTGTAGTTCCCAAAATGTTCTATATTTTTCGTAGAGATTTTTATTGATAGAACTAAAGTGAATGTGTTTATTGTGATTGTTTTTGCTGTCATTGTTACTGTCGGGATAAAATCGTCCTACATACAATTTCCCGTGCTTTTCCGTATTTTCAAACGAACGACGGTTGTCACCATGGGAACGCCGATCAGACAACTTTGGAAACTCGACCGCGGATTGGCTGCAAGACATCGTACCACCAACGAATGTCTTGTAGCGCTAGTAAGTGCTGATTGGTGGAATTCCATTTGCCTCAATCCATATAAAAGGATTGAGTTTAGTTGGGAAGTTTAGTTTGCCTAGGACACATCAAGGAAACTCACATTCGTCTAACTTTGCCTAAGCTGGCCTAGAAGATTGTTTCGTCTCGCTGTGCGGTAACTAACGTTGGAAGGAGTTCGTCGCAAGGTGTCCTTTTCGATGGACCTGTAGTCGTGGATTAAAAGTATTTGAACTTTGTTACACCTGATGTTTTGTAACTGCTGTTTGTGAACTTTTGAAACTGTACATACATTAACTTGTAATATAAACGTCTTTGTGAAAATTCAGCAACGTCTCGTATCTTTTTGAATTTGACTGCCACCTCTCTACCAATGGAGTAGTCCTATTGAAACAACTGTGTATCATCACTTTGATGAGTGTCCAAAAGTAAGCAATCATTCAACAATAGTATCCATGTTTTAAAGTCAAGGGATTTAACTTTATAACTATAATTATCCCATCTTCTCATATTCACATTCAAACTTTGACTAAACTCTTCTCTGGCTGTTTCATTGCTTTCACTTGTATTTAAATTTTCATAAATAATGAATGCTTCGTTCATTCAATAATAATTTTTACCAATCATTTCTCTCTGTGTGAGCTTTTCCATCTTCAACAGATCTCTAACAGCTTTGACTGCAGTTGTAGGAATTACATGAAATTAAGAAGTAACCAATATCTAGTTATGAAAAACATGTATACAATTTTTAAATGAAAAATATGCACTGTTATATGAGTTTTACATTCTGTTTGGGGAAACTGCATTATTTTATGTAATTTAATATATATATTTTTTTATAATTAACAATAAAATTTTTGTAATAACTAATATTACTAAAAATAATTAAAATTTTAACTATTAAAAAATTTGTAATTTAATTCATAACAGCTGTATATTAAATCAAATTTTTAATTTATAAATAAATTAATACAGTTTTAAATATTGAAAACAGTACAGTCGACCCCCGTATAACGTACATTCCTATAACGACAATTCCTATAACGTAGCGAAAAAATTGTAGAAACTTTCGTATAAAGTAACGTCGTTTCGCGACAAGATTGATAGAGTCTGGACCAATAGTGGATGAGCAGCCGAACTACTTACCTCCGACCCTGCGCCACGCTACGGAGCGGCTAAATTGAGTTTGCTATCGTCTGTTTAGTATTATATATAAATTATATATAAATTAGGTACTGTACATATAATTATATATTAATTATATATAAATTAGGTACTGTATATATAATTATATATTAACTTAATTTATTGTAACTTTATTATAATTATATATATGCTTTCTGCCGCCTGGCAACACGCTACGGAGATTTTAGGCTAGTAAGTTGAGTTTATTATCGTCTGTACAGTATGTAAATTAGGTACCGTAAGTCTAATACAGCACTAATTTTATACATTTCTTGTGAAAGAAACACTTCTTATTCAACGGCCATAAAAATTATTTATATTAATGATGTCTCCAAAGGTCAAGTTATTTTTATGCGAAAAATTCGTTATTAGAAATCGCGGCCGCCGTTTAATGTGCTGTTCCGCGATGAAAACCAGCTTTAAGCAACGGCGTAGTCGAACGGTACACACTCGGTAAGTAATCCTATAATTTTTTGTTTATAGCATAGTTTATACAGATTATTCCCAAAAAATTATACGTATTTTGGAAATGTTGAGTCGAATTAGTCTAGAATCGGTTAATTTTATAGAAGAAAACCTTTCGAACAGCCTTAGTCCGTAAAGTTCCCACCTATCGGGCTGCAATTGGCTCATGTATTTAATCGTTCCTACAACGTAAAATTCGATTAGCGTGGAACGTATCTAAGCGTTATAGGGGGGTCTACTGTATAACTATATCAGTACAAGATTTTATTATTATTGAAGATTTATAATAATGAATTTAATTTAATTATATTTAAATAACAATATTGTTTTTGATAGAGAACTATCTTTTAAGATTATAATCAAATAAAAAATGGAAAGTATATATTTGAAATGAAATATTTTTCTATAATCAGTGTAATATTTTATTTTTAGATGAAGATATACCTTTACCAGAAGATTGGGACCTACAGTGTTTTTTGCCAATGAAAAAAGCTCATAAGTAATATAAAAATTTTTAACAAATATTAAATTATTATTTTTATTTTTTAACATTACATTGTAATACTAATAGTAAACATTTAATATTTAGCCATTTGAAAAGTTATGATTAATAAAATTAATTATTTCTAAAGTTTTTTTATAAGTTTTAAACACAACACACACAACATAAGAAATGTTTTTTACATTAAAGGAATTTGAAATTTCCATCTCAAGCTGACTTTCCAGTAGGAAAAGAAAGTGATTGGTTAAGAGCTGTTCGCTTATGTGAAAGTGGTGAATGGTTAGCTGAAAATGGAATTGGAAGGTAATTGGAGACAGTTCATAATTTTTCTTAATTCTTGATTTACTATACATAAATAATTTGTAACATTTATATATAATCTATTAGTTTTAAAAATTGCTTATACATTACATTAAAAAACGCTAAAGTATTGGTACATACTTAAAAACAACTTTTTAATGAATACAAAAAAGTGTGCATGAGTTACAAAAATATTTTTGATTTCGTAAGTTCTATTTTTCTTTATGTTTGATTAATTTATAACAGTACAGCTTGATCCTCATGCCAAATAACAGATAAGAGGAGGGAAAACTCACTGATTAATTTATTTTGAATGTAAAAATAACTGATATGTTTCACACAAAAGTTTTATTAGGCATGAAAATGATTCATATATGTTAGATAAAAAAAATTAAAAACTTGTGTTGGTATATATTATATAATAAATTCATTTGAATAATTTTATAGCAAGAAAATATTATCACTGGGAAAGACTACAAATGGAGAACACAGACATTTTACTGCAATTCAACAGATAGAAGCTCTTTCTGAAGAAGTTATGCAACAAATTCAAGAACTTACAGTAGCCAATAATTCTTCATCTCATAACATTGGCAATGAATGTGATGGAAATGGGAAATCAATAGGTATTCATTAATTATAATTTTATATAATTAAAACAGGTTATTAAATAATTTTGTGGCTAAAAAATACTAATTTTGGAAACCATTCATTTATGGAATATCTTATTTTAACTTTTCATTTGGTTTTGATTTTTATTTCCTGTTTTTCCTTTCTTAGTTTTATTTAAATTTCTCTCAATTTAAAAATATTGTTTTGTTAAAAAAAAAGGTCAAGTCTTTAATAGCAATATATTAATTACACAAAAAATATTTTCAGCACTGATACCTCTAATTTCAGATTTACATTAAGATGTTATATATGTTCTTAATTCATCAATGCAGTTCAATTTAGAATACCAGATAATATCATCATTCATGATTAATTTTTTATAAAATAATATGAATTTGCAAATCAAATTAATCTTTTATTTACACAAAAACTTACATTGATGCCAATTGTGATGAAATAAATACCCTTTCCTACTGTTAATATTCTGATATCTAGATTTTAGATAAAACATGATTTACTTTTTGCTGAAACATTTTTCTGCTAGGATAGCCCTTCCTTTTTGTGACAGACTTTCATCAATTTTTTATAAATATCCTTGAAATATTATCAGAATGTTGGAAGTGCATAATCATCCAGAATGTCCAGACTGCACACAGCATTTATGGTTTTATCAATAACAGCTAGTGGGCCAACTAAGTCAGCAGTTAAAAAGGAGCCCAAACCATGATACCACTTCCATCAAACTTTTTTCTTGTGATGATACAGTCTGAAAAGAACTATGTCCTTGACATTTGCCATATCCAGGTGCAGCTGATCTATCTGACTGGTAGATTGTGAAACTTGATTCATCTGTCTATAGAATGGATTTTCAATGGTTTAAAGTCCAATAATTGCATTTCTTATAACATGCCAACCAGCATCTAGCATTTGTTAGAATGATAGTAGCTTCAGAACAAGTGCACAGCAGTTATAACCTATAGCACAAAGACTTCTTTCTACTGTATTTGTGCTGACAGTCATTTCAGAATTCTCATACAGAGTTTTGTGTGTCCTGTGACAATGGTAATGTAAAGATTGTGAGCACCATTTTGCACAAACTATCTTGTTCTCTTTTTTGGGAGGTTTTCTGGGATTATTTCTTTGCAAATTCAACACCTATTCCTCTTTCATTTGCATGCGACATCAATAATTATTGACTTTGGAATACCAAGTGTGACTGTGATGTCTTGCACAGAATGTTTGCAAATGTGCTCCCTTTGCTATGGTCTGTTCAAAGCCAAGCAAGTGTGTTTATAGCAACACAGTGATGTGTTGCTTAACTGAAGTCTACTTTGTATTCAGTCTAGCAGTGTCTAGATATTAATGGTAGGGCAGAGTATATGAAAGATGAAGTATCATTATTAGTAGAAAATAAAGTATATTGTATTGAAAGTATATTTGTCAGAACTGTAAACAGTTATTGTCTGAATCATGTAATAAATTGATTTAACTTATATGATCATAGTAATTGAAATTAGATTTTTTAAAAATAATATTATATAGCTTAAATAGTTTCAAAAGAACTTTAGCAAATTGGCTTCTAATTTTAAGAATTAGAAATTTTTACAATATAATAATCTGTTTTAACATTAAATAAAATACCTGAAATACACTCATTGATAAAAAAGTTATGTACTGAAGAGGAGGTGTTGGAATCAAATGAAACTTTATCAATTATTTGTAGCATCATGTTTATATAATGATGGTAATAAGTGATCACAATATCATAGCAAAGAAACAATTTCTTATGCAATAATGTTGCAATTTAAACAAACCTTTAGTACCTGTAGGATTTCCTTGCCTGCATACATGTAGCATCACAATTGAGCATGTTTGGAAATAGGCACTATATGTTATTCTGTGATAGTTTTCCCACAGATGTTGCTCCATATCTCTCACATTAGGAGAAGAATGAAGCTGGTCTACCATCTAATCTTTCAAATCCTTATAGAAGATATTGATAGGAGATAATTCTGGAGAATAGATTTCTTTTTATCACCAAACAGAACTGGGATTTACTGTTAAATGTAATACAATACTGATCTGCTTTCTGTCATTGCATCACTGCGAACAAAGATAATGTTTTTTGGGTGCTAATAGCAGAATGTGTAGTGGTCATTGAGCATGCAAATTTGCCTCTTCCAGTTGCTTGTTAATGGTATGAGATGAGAGAAGATTCTGTATCAAGGCTTACCTGTCTTTGGATGGTGAACAAAGATGCCATTGTAGCTGTTTGTGCTTGTTTCATGATCAGGCAATAGTCTAAACTGATGATGTATCTGGGTCTTCTATTGCTTACTATTTGCGTGCCCTTGATGTATCTACTGTCCCCTAACACCACCTCAGTCAGGTCAGAATGGTCCAGATAACAGGCAATTTGATGAAATGACAATCCTGATTCCTTCAACTGGATGCTGCTTTTATCAAATTTTGTCAATAATGTCTTCGACTGTTGTACAAGCCTACTTGGCTTTCAAAGACCAAACAATAGGTTTACTGAAAATTCTGAATACATTGATTCTCTATGAATTTTTTTATGGTATACAGGGTTAGTGATTTTAGACATACTAGTTGTATTATCTGAGGTGTAATTGGATCATAGTTGTAATCATTTGCATACTTGTCTGAAAAAGCTGTATGCAATATTTTGCAGTAATTGGATCAATTCTATCTTGCTGCATAACTTTTTTGTCAATGAATGTATTTAATAATTCGTATGAAACTTTCCCTAGAATATTCAGGTTCAGAGGTGCTTGCCTGCAAGGCACGTGTGCACCCCATGGCATCAACATGAAAATTACCTTATTATAGGCTGTCTGAGGCACACTTGCTTCATCCTTCAAAATCTTGTTTAAAGAAAAACTGCCATATTGAGTATGACTGTTGTTAACATATTACATTTCTATAATTATTAAACAAATAAAAAGACCTGGCCTCAGAGATACAGAAATTTTTATCATTATGACAGTCAACATGTTAAATAAATATTATAAAGAAAGAGTTTTTAACTTATTATTATAATAAAATTTTTTAGTACACATGAATATATTGATGTAATAAAATTTAATACATTTTTAGTTGAACAAGATGGCTCTCTGAATGAATATTCTTCACTAAGGAACTTAAAAAATCAATCTGAAGGAAACACTCCTGAAGTACGTTTCAAATTAGATGAAGAACAACAAAGAAAAGATTTATCAGATCGATGTGTTATTAATTCAGAATTAGTTAATGAAAAAACAGATAGAAGAAATACGATGAAAGAAGTTTCAATTAACAGCATGAGAGAAAGAAGAGGAGGAAGACAAAATGTTGCAATGCAGGTAATCTAAACTAACCTTAAAGAACTCATGATAATTATGGTTGTCATTTATTCGCTGATTAGTCTGTTCATTGATAATTGATAAAAACAGTTTTCACTTTATGCCGGGATTGTTATAAGGGAGAGAAATTGGGGGTTTATATCTTTGTTGATAATTTTGCAAACATTTTTGTTAGACTGTTCTAATTTTTATTGAATATTTAATATTCCAACCTTGTGCCTTTACTGAATTTAAAAGATAAACATTGCATTTATGTTCCATTCTTACGTTTAAAATTTGTCTTTGATTTATGCCTGAGGACGAAGGCCTGTACATCTTTGAAAGTACAGTATTTGCAGTTTTTAATAAATACATGTTTTTAACATCAGTTAGATTGATTTTTGATGATTATTGTTTTTCTAATAAAATTATTTTCCTTGATGATGATTTTATTAATAATGCAAAAGTAATAGCAGTTTGAATATTTTTATTTTAAAATTTCTAATTTCTGTCTAAACAATATTCTAAATAATGTCTTCATGTTTAATTAACTATTAGTATTTAATATTTATTTACTTTTTTATCAACAATTTATGTGAACTTTGAAACTTGTTGACTCACAACTATCTTGTAAGTCAACAGCACTATAAATTTAATTATAAATTTCAATTTAACTTTTGAGTTTTTAATTAATTCAAGTTTAAAAGTTATTAACTGACACTTCATATAATTTGTAAGTTTCTGATTACAAAATTATCAAAAATTGCATTCATTTCATTAATTTTTACTTAAACAGTTACAATTATAAAATTATTTAATACAAATTATTTATAAAAAAACATTTAAATTTAAAACTTATCCACTTTGTTCTTTTATAATTTTTAAATGAAAATTATTAATTAATCCATAAGATTACTAATTCTGTAATCATTAACTTTCAGATAATTATCATACTAAATTTATTAATATATATAATATAATTAACATAAAATGATTTATTCCCACATTTTAATATCATATAGGCGATATTACAGCAACGTGCTGCACAAAATTCAACTATATCAAATAGAAGATCTGACATGATAAAAGATCATAATGTGGTAAATATTAAAATTAATTTTTGAAAATTAGAAGTAAAATAGTTTTTTTATAATTAACGTAGACATATTTCTAATTAATGAATGCATTTTGAAAGATAAATAATATATATATCATTAGAATTAATTTAAGAATTTAAATATTTACAGTACAATAGATAAAAAAACATTGTTAGTTTATAAAACATATTTACAGTATTATGATAAATATAAAGAAATAGTAGTTTTATTTTAAATTAGTCATTTATTGGGTGGCTATATTTAGTTAATAAAATAAGGGATATATCAAAATTATAAAATTTACATAATTTATTTAAAATTTGGTATATTTTTCATTATATATTATATTTACTTCATGATACATTCAATTATTTTGTAATTTAAATAGTTTTTTAGCTTTTAATTAAAAATTAAATTTATTTCTAAGTATATTTTGCACAAATTTTGCTGAAATATTTAAAATTTTTAAATTTATTAATGTAAAAAAATTCTTATGAATTAATTACATACTTCATAGTTCCTTAAATTTGCATTTACTAACTGTACAAGTTCAAAAATATTTTTGAGTTTGTATTTCTGTCATTAGTTGAAAATTGTAATATTTAGAATTAATGCAATAGAATGAAAGTGCTTTAAGATTATGTTTATCACTAATATTTAAGAAAATTTATATGATAAAATATTTTTAGATTATTATTATTATTTTTTTGTTTTTTGAAAAAAATGACTATAATTTGTTTATAGTTTAAACTAAAATCAGATTTAAAGTCTTAAATATTAAGAATTTTTAATTATTTTGGAATGTCATTTTATCTAATGTTGTTGAGAAATTCATTTAATGCAAGCAATTTTATGAGTTCTGATTTAATAAAACCTATATATATATTGTTTATGCAGTATGGTTAGATAATACAGTTTAATTAGATATAACAGTGTAAAATTAACATTACAGAAGTGAATATATTATTTCTGAATCACAACATATTCATTTTTTGAAAATTATATTTTAAAATATTGTTTTTTAAAATATACTGTTTGCATTTAAAAATTATATTTTTAAATCAGAACATATTGTTCAGTTGAGAATTATATAGTTGATGGTGTTTACAGATCATTATTTATTATATGCCATATCATATAATCACTTCGGATATGGATATTTTTGTTTGTAATGCACTAGACTAATTTTATTCTGATTTTAAATACTTTAATAATAACATGATTTTAAATTTGTAAATTTCAGTATGGTATCTTTCAATACAATGTCTTAAATTTTTGTTTGTGTATGTTTGGAAATAATACAGTACTGTACATATCAGGCTGATGACTCATTGTTAGCTTGGTCTGTTTTTGTTCCCTTTCTTGATTCAATTTTCTTTACAATAACAATAAAAAGTACATCCATATTTTGCACCATATTAAATAAATAAATAAATGCTATTTTCAGGAATGAAACAAATTGTTTCTAATCGGAAATGTTTTCGTTCTTTTATAAGAACATCTTCAGCAGAAAATTTTTTCAAATTGCAATGGAATGAATACATTTACAGAATACAAAGTATTCTGTAATTAAATAAATGTCATTTTTTAGGAACCAAACAAAAACAATTTGTTTGGTTCCCAAAAATGACATTTATTTATTTCTTTACAGTAAAGTTTTTTGAGAATTCACACAAATTTTAGGGCTTATTGCTTCATTTTTAAGTCAAAACAAGATATCTGATGTACACAGCAAAAATAAGCTTTCTTTCCTTACTTTAAAGAAAGAGATTTCCGTAATTAAGCAAAGTGAAATTAAAATTTTAATCAAAATTTGCAAAGGAATTTAATTGTGGGAAGATCCAAATCCAAACAATTCTTGCCAACTAGAAACTTGATTTTGTTGAATGGGAAGCAAACACAAATGAAATCACCAGTGGCATGCCATCCATGAAAGCTGTGGAAGAAAACTCAACTGACATGAAGAAAATCAAAAATAATATTAAACAGAAGATAGAGCCCCAGAAATTAAAAATAAAAATCAAAAAAGTAAAACAGGTCAAAGGAGATGGAATTTGCTTTTGAACTAATACTCAGGAAGCTTATCACCTGATATCAGAAAGCTTTGTACCTTTTCAAATATATCAGGGATATCCCTGATATATCTGAAAAGGTACAAAGTAAAATTTCCAACGGAAGGTGGCCTAGGATCATCCTCACAAATGTGCCTAATTCAATAGATGAATTAGATATAATTTCAATAATCTACAGCCAAAAAAAAAACTAACTGAAGCAGTAAAACAGGAAGACTATAACGGCTTGACATGGATTAGCACCATTCTAAATAAAAAAAAAACGAAAGAAAACTGTAGGCATGTGGTCCTTTCGACCACCCCACAAATAAGGTACATCTTCATCAGGACCAAACACACAGCAATGTCATGGGCAAACATCTACATGAATGATTATATCCCACTGGTAAGATGTTACCAGTGCTGTGGATATAATCACTTCTCCACCAGCTGCCCACAGAAGCAAAAATGCAGCTACTGTGCGAAGGCACACAGGTATGGTGAATGCCAAAGATTAGATCATTCCTCATGCTGCACCAACTGTAAGGCAGTTAGTAAAGAACTCCCAGAACACCAGAGGTATGACACCAGACATAATGCTTTCAACCCATATTGTACCTAAAACATCAGAACAAAGACACAGACAATCAAGCAAACAAATTATAGAATATAGTCACCATCAACAATATCATACTCTGGATGGCTGCTCTTTTGGGTGGCAAAGTTGGTGATTAGGCTGAATAGGTAACCACCCATTCAGCCTAATCACCAACTTTGCCACCCAAAAGAGCAGCAACAACACTGGGAGACAAGTATACAACCTCTCCTACAACATTGCAACTGATACAATCAGCCAAAGCATGAGAATCTTACAAATTAATTTACAGAGGAGCAAGGAGGCAAGCTCATTGCTAATTGAAAACGCCAATAAACTAAATTCAGACATAGTCCTCATACAAGAGCCCTATATGGTCAATAATAAAATTGTGAGATTTGGGGATGGCAGATATTGGCGAAACAAGGGGAAGAAAAGCCAAAGAGTAGGATTACTGTTAGGAACGACAACATTGACATGGTTCTGGTCCCTCATCTTTCTAATAACATAATTACAATTGCAGTTATACATCAGGAGTCAGAGATATACATCATGAGTGTTTAACTGGCACTAAGTGAAGATGACAGAATCCATCAAGAATCTAGAACAAATTCTAAGAAAAATAAATAGTAAGACCTTAATAGTAGCAGGAGACTTAAATGCAAAATTGCCTATTTGGTTCAGCCCCAAGGTGGATGAGAGGGGAAGACAATTAAATTTATTAATGGAGGAAATGGACCTGGTGTCGAGGAACATGAATACTATCCCCATGTTTTTTACTGGCTTTGCCAAAGGATGGAACAACATATGTCTGATATCCAATGACTTCATGCATAGAATTAACTCTTGTGAAACCCTTACTACAACTACTGCCAGTGACCACAGAATTATTCTAACTGAAATTAAAGGCATAAAAATAGGTAATAATGTTACAGGGAAAAGGATACAAACACTTACTAATTGGGAGCTCTTTCATGAAAAGTTTGCAAGAAATTAGAGAAAAAAATTTCATTTTCAAACCAGCAGAAACAACAGATGTAGACAGGACTATATTACAAGAGCATAATAATAATAATAATAATATTACAAGAACTAAAATAATAATAATAATAATAAAAGGTTTAAAAAGTTTTGAAATTCTTCAAATAAATTAGCCATATATGGTATTTTAATATTAATTGGTTTATTTGGAAAAGATTTATTAATTATTGTAAAATTTTCAGCCATTTATTTATTAAAATTTAGGGTAATTATTTAAATGAAAGATTTTACAAATTTCTGCTATTTTTTCCTTCTGTTTTTTATAATCACTAGTTTTCAGTTTACTTTTCTTATATACATGTTAAAAATGTTCTTTTTCAAATATATATAAGTGAGCATCAGAATAAAAATTCATAGTTTTTTTTTAACATTACATAGTGTTATTGTGTATTTACTAAAGTTTAGAGAGTTTATTTCTGTAAGAATAGTTAAATCTAAAGAATTAATTTGATTATTTTCTTCAGCTTTAATATCAAATTTTATTTCTGGATTAATTTTATTTGCATTGTCTAAAATAACTTGTGGGTTTGTTAAGGAAGAGTCATAGAATAAAACGCTATCATCAACAAATCTATTGTAGAATATTGTGCCTGTAAAATTATAAATTATATCGTCCACTGGTATCATACATAACTTCAAGTTTAGGACCTATGCAATAAACCTAAAGATTCCATCAGTTTGTGTGTAAAATATTTTATCATTATCTGTAAAATAATTATTATTAAAAATCAATAAAATAAGATTAATAAGATATTCTTCACATTTTAAACTATGAAGGGAATTAGTAATGAATTTTTTTCTGATAGATGGATACATATTTTTTATGTCCTCTCATCATTTTATAATTATCTTTTATTTTCAACGCTTACAGATTTTTAATTTGATTTTCAGTATTCTTAATACTATGCTTTGACAGTTCAAAAATATATAATTTTCTTTTTATATATTTTTCTAAATTATAAAGAGAGTAGTTCTTTATATCTGCCAAAGGTCTATAGGCTTCTTTGTTATGTGTTTTAACTCTAATGTTGAGCTTAGGTAGTCTAATATTGTATTCCATAATAAAATGATATACATTTTTATCTGTTATATTTTTCTTTAAAGGTTTTTAGATTCTTTTTCTGGGTAACTCCTGATATTATTGGTAGGGTCATTGGGAAGTTGTATCATCACATATCAGATGTAATATCATTTTTAATATTCTTCAGTTTATTGGTTTCTGTAATTACAACTTGCTTTGATTTATCAGCTGGAATTATATTTAAATTATCTATATAGTATGCTTTAATTTTTTAAATGAGATTTTGATATTTATTATATTTCTTTTTATAATTTTTATTTTTATTAAATCTTGTAATCATATTTGTTAAATCTGCTGTAATATTACCTTTATTTTCTACATTAATATGGGATAATGCATATTCTAAGGACACTATTATTTCATTTTTTATTCGACTTTCCAGGGCAATTAAAATTTCATCAGAGTTTTAGAAAATTAAAAACAAAATTTGATATGTTATGATTAATTTTATTGACTGCTGAATTACTTTTACATTGTAATTGTTCAATTGTATTAGGAGTTTAATTTAGATTAGCTCAAAATTTAAACACTCCTAATCTATTAAATTTCTTTATTTAAATAACACACTTTTATATTCATTACACATTTTTTATACTGTCTACAGTATAATTGCCAATGAAATCAGTTAAAATGAATTTTGTTTTTGCATCACAGTTTTCTTATATTTATGTTAGTACAATACTGTATGATGTGAAAAAATTATACATTTAATGAAAGCACTGCCATTGTTATTGATTGGAAAATCTTTAAAGCTTCAATGTTTCTGAATGCCAAGACATTAAATATACAGCATATAAGAAAGAAGAATGACATCAGAGCTTTTTTTTCTAAGTTGTTGAAAAGGTTAGATACCTACATGATTGCCACAAACAGAAAAATTATTATTTTTATTGACAGCTGCAATGCATATTTAATGATTACTAGTTGAATAACTGTATCAGCTAAATTTTTACCATCAAATACAATTGCTAATATACAATATTGACATCAAGGAATCTTTTAAAACTTTAAAGTGTGATATAAAAACCTTTCAAAAGAAACAAGTATTTAATTTTTAATTAATTATTAATGTCTTTTATCTTCATTTAAAGTAATTATCGATATAATTGCATTAAATGAAGAAAAAGTAATGGGAGTATTGCATGCAAGGACAAGTATCCATAATTCTGATTTACTCAGAAATTATTCTTCAGAAATGTTCTTTAAATTGGAAAGTTTTTATCCAATTTTACATTTTTTGAAAAAATTCATAAAAGTACTGTACCTATTTAGTTCATTTTATTTGTTAGCTGGAATATCACAAAAGATTGCTTAGTTTTTAGTTAAATTTAATTTGAATATGAATTATTATCTGCATTTCAGCAGAAAATTATTTTTTATGTATATATTCTTGTTTTATTTACATTTGAAACAACGTAGTTTTTAATTAACTATTGAACAATTTTAAACAGTAAACAATTTTATATACAGGCATCCCTCATATAACACAGTAGATAGGTTCTGAAAAAGTGCCATGTTATCTGAATCCGTCATACAAAACAAAGGACTAATGTAAAACATAGGGTTAGGTTCTAAAAGTTAATAAAAGTATACTATTCTTTTTTGTTACTAAGAGGAATGTGTTTATTAAAGCAATCAATACTTTATTTTCAATCAATAATTAACTAACAAGCATAATTAAAAATACTATTAATATTAATTTTAGTTAAATGAGGGTTTTTTTTTCATTATGATTACTAAGAACAGAAAAATTTTTATTTTTATTGTTGTCTTCTGCGCTTTTTTGTTGATTATGATCAGAAATAACGGTAACATTGTCATTTTTTTAAAATCTTTTATGGATTACAAAATAAAAATATGTTGTTAATCAAAAATTTGTTCTAGAGCTTATGTTTGTTCATTTGAGTACTGAACAATTTTTTTAGAATTTCTTTTCAAATATCGAATTTTTTCAGTTGGGAACAATTTGAGTGCCAAGGTACTGCTGTATTTTGTTTGTCATTTTTATGAATGATTGCTTATCTGTGGTGAAAAAAAGTTTAGTAACATTTACCTAAAAATATTTAAATAAACTTTATTAAATACAAAGATTAATTTATATAAACAAAACACAGTGTCAGTCTTAAGGGCTAAAGTCTGAGAGCAATCACAATGATACCTGGTTGATAGGAAAGTTAGTGCAATTTTTTTTCTTCCTTGTTCTAGCAGTTTTCATTAAAGTAAACCTGACAAAAAGCACAAAATAATTTGAGAATTTCAATATTTTAAAATCCATCAGCAAATTTGAGACAACATGCATGCTTACTCGAATAAAAAAAAATATCAAATAAAATTTACACTTAAAAATTGTGAAACTTTTTATGGATGATTTCCAAAACTGTTTTAGAGTGAAACTGGAAGTTGTGTTGTACAGGGTATTTCCCCAATTTTCAAACTGTGTGTTAGAGCAAAACTATATTATAGAAGTATCGTGTTGTACAAGGGATACCCATATTTAAAAAGTTTAGATTTGTATTTTATCAATAAATAATTTATTAGTGATTTGTTTTTTGTCCTTATATTACAATATGAATCTATGAGCAACAAGTTTTTGGCTCTGTGGAGGACTTATCACACACTATTAGCATTGTCAGAGTAATCACACAAAAGTGGATAGACACTGGTTTGTTATGATGACGGTGTGCATTTTGGACAGGCTGTCTGTCCCTCTTCAGCTGTATTTGTTACAATTTGGTGGGTTTACAGGTATTTAAAAGGTACATTCTATTATGTTACTAATGTGTGGATGACTTCCTTTTCAGGATTTTTCACAGATGTTATATTATGTTTTCCATACAAATAGCAACCAGAAGATTATAATTGTTACTTAATGAAATTAATTGTGAAATAAATAAAGTTTTCGCAGTCAGCTCGTACAATGTTTTCTACTACAGAAGCAATGCTACTAATCCTGAAAATGAAGTCATCTATGCATTAGCAACAAAATAGAATGTCCCTTTTAAATACCTGTAAACCCATGAAATTGTAACAAATACAGCTGAAGAAAGACAGACAGCCTATCTGAAATGCATACTGTTGTCATAATAAACCTGTGTCTACTAGCTTCTATTTGATTACTCCAACAGTATCAATAGTGTGTGATAAGTCCTCCATAGAGCTAAATAATTTACTATTTATTGTATTTTGAATATTTTTGAAAAATAGGCTCCTGTATCTGTTCAGCATGATCCTCAGTCTTTTGATTTGAGAATGGTTGCAGCTTTGAGACAGTCTTCTAGATCTCAACCTACTAGTACTCATGTAGATGGAGTGCCTGTCCTTGGACCACAATTACTGAGATCAGCTCAAGATGGAAATTGCTTAAATTCTCCATCTATACAAGAAGTATGTCATTTTAAAAAAAATTATTTTTAAAATCTTATTATTTGATTTTATATTGACAGAATTTATACTATTGATTTAGGGTTCTACTTCAGCCCATCATCACATATCCACTGATATATATAATCAGATACAACAACAATCAGTAACTTCTGTAAGTTATAAAATATTTATCAAGTAACATAAGAATTGTTTAAATGTGTGTGTTATGAAATGTCAGTCACTGTTTTTAATATATTTGTTTTATAATAAAAGATATTAAGTCATGTTCTGCATGCTTTAAAATATAATGTGGTTCAAATGAAAATCAAAAAACATTAAAAGTTTTGATTCTGTACAAAATCAAAACTACTACTGTCAATTTTCAATGAAATTCTTCTGACATTTAACACCTTCAATAGATCACTAATTTCTGAATTTTACAGGAGAAAACATTTCTATACACTGCCTATATAACATCCTGAAATGATTTGTTTATATAGCATTTTTTTTTTTTTTTTAAAGATCCAAAAATATGATAATTACTTGATGTTAAAATAGCATATAATGCAGGAGTAAATACAAAGTTAAATTTATTTTTTATTTACTCCAAGAAAGCATTAAATGCTGTTTTAGTTTAGTTTGGAGTTTTTGTTGTACAGTATTTCTCCTTGCTGCTATGTTGGGCATATTTGGTGTTATTCCATCTTCCAATAGAATGATGGAATTCAATGGAAATCCAATGAAATCCAATGGAAGATGGGATAACACCAAATTTTATATTCCAAATAAGGCCAATGGTATGGCTGACTGTATGAGATCTTGCATTGTCATGCTGCAGGCAGGCACTAAAAACAGCAAACTATGATATTTCATTAGAATTTTGAAATTCTGGGGTTTCCAGGGCAGTAGGCTGGTGCCATAAATATCTATGCCATCTGTCAGAGATGTTACACTGAAGATTGGCAGCAGCTATGTAGGTAACCAAAATATGGGTTATATTTTTTTAAGTTTTAATTTGGAAAACCTCTTGTTTATTGATACATATCTATTTAACAAATTATTCTAAATTTTGATACACTGTTGGTAATTTCAATTCAGACAAATATCAGTTAAATATGGTATCAGTTAAATACCGTATACATATACATATGTTGAAATATAAACATTCATTAACCTGATTTTTGCTTAATTTTCTACTGGATTATATGTCAGGTTAGTTTATGATTACTGACAACACATCTTCACAATAGACAAGAGTTGCAGGTTTGAGTCCTGCTCCAGGTTAATTATTTTCTTCCAGAACTTTCTAAATTAAAAAAAAAAAATTAAATAATTTTATTTATTTATAATTATTAAATTGATCAAGAGATGATGGAATAACTTCCTACTGTATGCAAAATTACTTAATATTTAATTCTTAAATAGTAGCCATAATATAGCTCAATATATAATCAAAAAGATTATTTGCCCTTAATATATATGTTGAAATTAAAATACAAATATTTGAAAATACAGTATTCAAATTCAAGTTTCAATAACTCAAAAATGTATATAATTTAATTGGCCATGTATCAGTCTTGTTTAAAAGAAAATTTATATTTTCTTGATTATTGAAACAATATTTTATTAAAAAACTTGGTTTAATATTTTTATAATATGTATATTGACAGGTATATAATTATCATTTTTTAATTATATTTAAATTTGACAATGGATAGTTAAAAATAAAACTAATTTGCAATGATAATATTTTTTAAACAATATACAGAAAGTTTCAGAAATGATCACATAAAAGTCATAGAAAGTGATCTGTGTAGTTGCTCTGATCAAAGATATTTGAAAGTGCTTAAATTGAAAACAAAATTACAAAATATAAATACAACTAATTAAATAAATTTAGTTTATTTTGTAAATAACTAAGATTAATAAGTAATTAATAAGCTAATAATTGCACACAGTATTGTGATGCAAAGAAAAATGTTATGTTTACTGTTTTGATTTTACAAGTATCAACACACATTACTCAGGTTTTTTATCCATTAATTAAACAAGCTCCAAATGATAAGTTTTTCTTGTGAACTATGACTTAATTCACAATACTTTTGCCTGAAGTTTGTTAATGAATTTTGGTAATTTCTTGTCATTCTATACTCAGAAATATACTATCTATGAAATAATGGAGTAAAATCAGATTACCTAATTTGTATTATTTATGTGAAAAATAACATTTGTCATTTCTATGGTATTTATATTTCAAAATTGAGGCCTCTTATATGCATTTTATGTGTATGACTGACTAAACATATTTATCTTTTATCAAAATTATTCAGTTTAGGAAAATAATTTTAATTTCAAAAATTTTATTTTTTGTTCTTATGGAATATCTGTTAGTTTCTAAAATTAATTCTAGTTTTATATCCATATTCATAATTATTGCAATGCACCAAATTCAAGTATGCTGATATCTAAGATTAAAATTTAAAATTTAATTTTGAAACACAATAAACTTTATTGAAAATTGAAATATATGTACTTTATATGCAATCATAAAGCTAGAAAAAATTATTGTTAGATATAACAATAAATCCTTATTTTGATAAATCATAATCTTAATTTAAGTAAATATAAAATATAAAACATGGCTGATGATATTATATTTAATTATTTACATTTAATTGTATAAACAAATATAAAATTGCAACATTTAACAAAGATAAAATATTTTGCTTCTGTTATTCATCCATCGTTTGCTCCAGTTGACAGTCCACAATTTCACAAGCATGGAGGCGACCTTTCTTTTGAGGCTACTGTGGAGAATGTTGCAATTTTATATTTGTTTATACAATTGAGTATAAATAATTAAATCATTATCATGGATCATGGATGTTTATGGAATTTCAAATTTGACATTAGATGAATTCATTGCAGTAAATTAATAGACACATTCATCTTAAAATAATGATTCTCAACAGGGAATCATACTAATTACATGATTTCCATTTAACCACAAGATGCATTGAGAGTTTTAAGTGGGTCATTCAACTGAACATTTGTGGGGAGTGTGATATTAAAGGTACAGGCCAAAATTACACTAACATTTATAATTAAAGAAAATATTTAATACATTCCTCAAAACTACATACTTTTGTTTATTTCTTGACATAATTGCTGTAAATGTTGAGACATTTATTCCAGCATGACACTATTTTAAACATCCCTTCATGTACTGTTGCTTGTCAAGTTGCTTGAAATAGTCCAGAATGGTAACGTCCAATTCCTCCTGATCTGTAAAGCATTTTCCCACCAAAAATTTCTTTAACGGTCCAAATAAATTAAAATCTGGATGGGAGCTAAATTTGGACTATATTGAGGATGTTGCAGGACCTCCCAATTTCACTGTGCCAACCACAGTTTTGTTTGATTTGACATGTGGAGTATAGTCCAGATTTAGCCCCCTTGGATTTTCATTTATTCGGACCTCTAAAGAAGTTTTTGCAGGGAAACGCTTTGCGAATCAGGAGGAATTGGAAGATACTGTTCTGGACTACTACAAGCAACTTGACAAGCAACAGTATCATTTAGGATGTTCAAACTAGTGTCATGCTGGGATAAATGTCTCAATGTTTATGGAGTTTATGTTGAGAAATAAACAAAAGTGTGTAGTTTTTGTGGAATGTATTAAATATATTTTTTAATTATAAATGTTAGTGTAATTTTGGCCTGTATCTTTAATATTGGACTCCCCTCGTATATTTCTCTTGAGTATCTTAGGAATGCTCTACAGGATAGAGGTCTAGTCTAATTGGTCAAATTATCACCAAAGAATCCCAGATCTCAACGTCAGACTATTATTTGCTTTTAAGTATTATCATCCACAAAAATAAAATTATTACATTGGAAAATTCATAAAGTAGGAGAATCATAGACCTTGCTTGTGTAATATAAAGCATTCAATGTCTTTGTAAATGCCATAAAGTGATATGTATTCATTCAACAAGATATACAAATATTTCCAGATCCTCACATATTGCTATCACCAAAGATATATTTTTACTTGAGGTTGGAAAGATAATTATAAATTTTTTTAGATGAAAATACATTGAGAATCAGTTTGTAAATTGAATCTTGATTCATAAGTAGAAAATAATAATCCATTTTCTGTTTCTGTGGCAGTTTAAACAAAGTTTGTTGTTAGAAAAGTTAAGGACACAAAACATAGATCATTTTGTATAATAGCAACTTATTATTTTTTTTTTTTTATAAATGGTTTACTTTAAAGTAATTGACACAGTAATTGAAAAAATACTAGAAAAATTTTTAGTCTAAGATCTCTTTATGGTTATCATGAGCTCTAGTACTCCTGAATTAGTTCTTTAGGCCTTTTTGATACTTTGCATTCTCCTGAAATTATTATAATTTTGAAACAATTCTTAGATATATGTTAAAGTTTTCGACACATTGGATTTTCAGTTTTCCTAAGACTTGCTGTCTTATCAAATTAGATTAATATACGAGATCTTAATATTTTTAATCATAAAAAATTAATATATGTATCTAATAACTTATAATTTTTAATTATAGTTTTAAACCAAAATAATTATCTCTAAAAACCTTGATTTTAGAGAGGACAAAAATAGAGGGAATTTTTTCTGTTTGAAATTACTACTGTTATTGTCTAGTGGCGATTGAATTTTTAATAAAACAGATAATTACAAAATAAGCTGATTAATCTGCTTTCTTAAATGACTTTCTTATTTCTCTTATTTACTTTTTCTAGTCTTTTTCTTGTTTTCCAAAGTCAAATCAATATTTTTTAATATTGATTTGACTTTGGAAGGTAATTTGAGAACACAGAGTGACAAAAGAAATAGCTTGTGACAAATATGAATAAATTTTGAAAACAAAACTGTGAACAAGCTTAATGTATACAGTATGTTATCTATTGAAGAAATTACTTTGAACAATATTGAAAGCTTTCTTCATTCTAATGTTTCTTTTGAGTATACAGTCAACCCCCCTATAACACTGTTGATAATTCTGTTTTATATGAATTCCATGTTGTATGAGTCACTTAGATTTTACAAATATGTGTGCCGGGCTGTGAACAGCTCATGTATTTGTAAAATCTAAGTGACTCGTACAACATGGAATTCATATAAAACAGAATTATCAACAGTGTTATAGGGGGGTCAACTGCACATAATTATAGAATGAATTGACTGATTTTAAGTGTAGATTTAAATATATATTTCATAAAAACTAATTTACTTATCTTATAAAGCAAATTTTCTATATATAATATCTATATTTTTTAATTATAGAAAGTGACTCATCAGAATGATCATAGTGAAAATAATCCTTGGATGCAAGCATATAATGTGCATCAGTAAGTAAATATTAAAATAATCATAGTTTTGGATTACTTTCTAATATATTACTATAATTTTGTGTGGATAGTCTGTAGTGGCATATACCTCACACAAAATTATTAGAATGAAAATAAATCCTTTGCATAATTTACACCATTGTACACCTTGTGCTTCCAGAGTTGTAATTGTAAGCATGACACCAGTATGCAGTTTAGAAGATACCATCTCAAACAATGAAATATTGATTTTTTGTTTTATTTCTGTTAGTAGTTTACTGTAGATGTAATTATAAAATAAGGAGAAAGAAACTCCTAAACTTTGTATTGAAAATATGAAATGGTACCAAATGACAAAAGTTGCTAATTGCGTCATTTTATTTCTGTTTTATTTATCACTAGCTAACCCAGTGCTTCGCCCGCACAGATTTTGCAATTTGATAGAAATAACCCTCTCTTGAAAAATCATCCCAGTGATTCATCACATAAGCCACTATTTCTGTGCATACTTCTTTGGCCATCACTTGAATGTCATATAAAACAAAGGATATTACTCTAAAGAGGCAAGCTCCATCATGTATAATTGGAATGATGGTATGGGGCATCATAACACCATTTATATTCAGTTTTTCAACAACCATAGTAATTATTTAATTTATAACAACGTTATATAACACATACCCCTTATTGCTGAGAATCATTTTACTGCTTCAAAGGAACATTTTCAATCTGATCAATTATCTGGAACATTTACAATCATTCTATAATCAAACCAATATACAATAACAAATTTGAATTTAAATTAAAACAGTTTGAACATTTGGTTAAAAAATCATAAAACGTAAATATTGTATGTTTGGAAATTAAGTTATCACCACGGAAACAAAAAATTACATCTAAAATAGTACAATAGAAGCCATTCTTCAGGTTAAAGCCTTAATTTTCTACCTCTCCCCTCGGGGGAATTTTGATATAAAAGCATGCACATATTTGAATGCAACGTTGTGTCAAAATTTCAAAGCAATCTGTGAAGAACTTTTAGAAATTTAAGATTTTGAACAAACGAACATTTACATTTTTATTTATATACAGTAATTAATTATTATAATAATGTTAAGTTAT